CTTATTTCGCTCAGCATAACACCCTCCAGTTCCATCCACATCATTGCAAATGGCAAGATTTCATTCCTTTTGATGGCTGCATAATATTGTTTGAGGACCTCTTTGTGTGTAATCTTACTTGGATTTTGTTTAGCTTTCTGCCTACGTTAGTTATTGTTTTTCAATAATTTGTGACGTTTAGAGCCATTATCTCCTTGCATGCTTTTTCTTTTCCTTTCTCATCTTCTGGTACTCCCATTAGGCATATGTTGTTGCACTTGATTGTGTCCCACATTTCTCTGAGGCTCTGTTCATTGTTTCTAGTTTGTTCTTCTTTTTCTTCTTGAAGTTACATCATCTCCATCAATCTAACTACACATCTGCTTCTTCTTCCAGGTCAAATCTATAGGTAAGCCTCTCTAATGAATTTTTTATTTCAGTTATTTTACTTCCAATTCCATAGTTTTCCATTTGGTTCATTTTCTTAATGATCTCTATTTCTTTATCAATACTCTAATTTGATGTGACATTGTCCTCATACCTTCCTTTGCTACTTTAATTGTGAATTACTTTATTTCTGTGAACATTGTCTATAATGGCTACTTTAAAGTCTTTTCCTAATAAATCTGACATGTGGTGTCTCTGACAGTTTCTTGGCTTGCTTTTTTTCCAGTGCATGTCTCATACTTTCCTGTTTCTCTGCATGTCTCATATTTCCTTATTGTTGGAAACTACATATTTTAGATAATATATCATAGCACCTCTGAGTACTGGTATATGTCTCTCCTTCTAGAACATGTTATTGTTATCTGCTTATTTGTTTAGTGACTAGTGGACTGTTTCAGTGAAATTTATTCCCCCATCCACAGTGTTCAGCTTCTAACATTGTTCCTCAGGGAAGCACAGATTTGGTATATCCACAGTTACCCTCAGATCACTGGATCACCATGGATTGGGAGGGCTCTCTTCCCATCTTTCCTTAACCGCACCCAGCTGTTAGACTCCAAGAATTGATGGCTGGTTGCTCTATTGTTTTCAACAACGCCCTGAGGAATAAATTGGTCTATAAACAATCCAATCAAATTCTGGTTCCTTTGAAGGAATAGTTTCTGAGATCAGTGTCTGATTTTTGTTCTGACCTCTGGAAGGCTGTTGGGATTTTTATTCCCTGGATCTCTCCTGCAAACTAGCTAGACTACGGTATAGCTTGTATCTTGAATCTCCTCTCAAATGCCTTTTACCACAACCTCCACTGTACTTTAGGATACTTAGGCTTCAACTTCTTCGTTCTCTGTTGCAAATGAAGTCAGTTCCTTTGGGAACAAATTAGGAGCTGTTTTATGGTTTGTTTCTCTCTCTGGGCAAATCTTTGAGCCAGTGCTCTAAAGGTGTGGGGGACAATGGCAAAGTTCTCTCTGAGTGATACTCCCACTGTAGGAGCTAAGAGCTCAGTGGAAGGAGAAGGGACATAGTCTGGGGTCCTCTCAGTTTTCCTCTCCTGGGATGGAACAACCAACTTACAATCTGAGGCAAAAGTGATCTGGGCCCCCGTATTCTCAACATGCTGCAACCAAATTCCACAAGTAGGGGCTAGGCCGAAGGGAGTCCTTGCTCCTGCACTACACTCACCCAGGACTTAGCTGCAGCAACAGGCAGCTGGGGACAGGAAGAGAATGCTGACATCATGTTCGTCCCAGGAGCCATGAGTCTAGGTTGGGGTTGGGGGGATCCTGTGTTCTAGGCTACAGTAGTCCTAATTGGAATCTCCACCTCACTGAACTGGCAAGGAGAAAAGAGGGAGCAGTACTGGCTTAAAAACCATTCTCGGGGCACCTGGGTGGCTCAGTCAGTTAAGCGTCTGCCAGGGTCCTGGGATCGAGCCCCATGTCGGGCTCCCTGCTCAGCGGAGAGCCTGCTTCTCCCTCTCCCTCTGCCTGCCACACTGCCTACTTACGCTCTCTCTCTCTCTGTCAAATAAATAAATAAAATCTTTTAAAAATAAAATAAAATAAAATAAAAACCATTATCAGGGGCGCCTGGGTGGCTCAGTCAGGTTAAGTATCTGCCTTCAGCTTGGGTCATGACCCTGGAGTCCCTGGATCGAGTCCCACACCGGGCTCCCTGCTCATCAGGGAGTCTGCTTCTCCCTCTGCCTCTGCTCCTTCCCCTGCTCATTTTCTCTCTCTCTCTCACAAATAAATAAATAAAATCTTAAAAAAAAAAAAAACCCACTCTCATTTCTTACCAAATTTTCATAGATGTTCTTGAATAAATGTCTCTTCATTGGCTGTTCAAACTTAGGACCATGGTTTTGGGGGTTTTCATCATTTCCATGTCTCACTGGGAAGCGGGTCAGCAGAGCTCCTCACACTGTCACGACAGAAGTCACTCTCCCACTTGTTCAACATGGATGTGAAGGACCAATACATGTGTGATCTAGGGCTCTATATATGTGTAATCTCATTTAATCTTCACAACTGTGGTGCAGACACTACAGACCTTGCTTTTACAGATCATGAAAGTGAATCCCAGAATCATTTAATAACTTGCTCCAATTAAAACAGCAAATAGGGGGTAAGGGGCTGATTCCAACCAGGCTTAACCACCTCCAAAGCTCATGTTTTTGATCACACCTATTTTTTCATCTTTTACACAGATCCTTTTAAAAATCAGAGCTCATGGGGCGCCTAGGTGGCTCAGTCATTACGCGTCTGCCTTCGGCTCAGGTCATGATCCCAGGGTCCTGGGATCGAGCCCCGCATTGGGCTCCCTGCTCGGCGGGAAGCCTGCTTCTCTCTCTCCCACTCCCCCTGCTTGTGTTCCCTCTCTCGCTGTGTCTCTCGCTGTCAAATAAATAAATAAAATCTTTAAAAAAAAAAAAAATCAGAGCTCATGAAACAGTTACATCTCTGTGCAGTCACAATGATTTCTTTAGGGAATACATCATTTTCTTCCTCATCTGCATCTTTTATAATAATACTAGGAGAAGTCCTATTCTGTTTCCTCATGTCTTACGCTGCATTTCCATAAAGAATCTCTGATCAGGGGACTTTACCTTTTCTGTACTTTTTAAAATCTGTTGTCCTGAAGATCTCCCTGCTAGATCTGATGTGCAATGGGTTTGGGTCTTTGATTATTATAAACATTAAAATGACAAGGTCTCTTTTCTCCCAAGATTACCTTTGTGCATAAGCACATACACAAAGCCAATTAAAAATATTATTAAGAAATGATGATACCTCCTTTAAAAAAGACTGAAGCTTCTTAGGCCCAAATTGTAAGATTTCAGGGAAAAGCTGAACACACACACACACACACACAAAATCCATATAGTCACAACTGACCAGTCACTAATAAGAACATCCCACTTTAAAAGTGATCTCATGCTTTTAAATGTACTTAAATAAGTACCAATATTTAAAACATAAAAAAAATTCTGACCACAAATGAAACCAAAACATAACCCAAAAAATAAACTAGATAAACCTAAAGTATAAGAAGAAATCTTTCTCCTTACTCACCCAAACAAAAATAAATAAATAAATAAATAACTGACATGTCAATGCATATCTGAAAACTTAGCCTTTACCTCTACTTGGCTCCATTTATCATTGTTACAAAAAAATTTTTTTTGGCCAGTTTTTACCAACTCAAAAAGTCCGATTTCCTGGTAGCAGATCTGCTACTGCGCCAAGTGTTAGAGAAAAAAATAGTTACTGCAGACCAAACCTCCCAAACTACAAGAATCATCAAGGGAACTGTGAACACATGGTAAGGAATACAGTTACATGTTCTATTTAAACAAAGTTTAAAGAAAGCATTAGAATGAGACTGTTTGCACCCAGTGGCTCTTTTCTCACACAACAGAGGCCCACACACCACGGGAGCCCCTCCACATGTGGTGACCCCCAGTCGAATCTGGCAATAGCAAAGACCCTTGGTCGCAGGCTCAGTAGGGATGTTTGTTTTGGGAGATCTGTAATCTCAGCTGTCAACACCTGACTGAAATAAACAAAAGAGCTCTGCTGAGGAAACAAAGACAGTGACGGGACTTAAGCAGGTAAACCAAAATAAATTAAAATTCTTGATGGAAACGGACAGCCCTGCGGGACAGCATCCAGTGACAGAGCTGCTCAAGTGGCTAAGGCATTGACCAGCTATTTTGGGTTTGCTAGCGTGTGCTCAAGAGCTTTTTAAAGAATGCAATAGAGGTACTTACCAAATATTTCCCCTCCACTAGCATATTCTGTCACCAGATAAATCATCCGTTCTGTCTCCATAACCTGGTACAAAGGCAGGAAAGCGACAGACAGTGACACAAATGACAGGCTGATATCATAGGAAGAGAAACTAATGACTCCTCTTTTGTCATTTGAAATATTAATAACCATTAACTGCTTAAAGGAAACTTAAAACACCAGAGAGGGGAACAGGCATAAACGCTATAAAGAAGAAAGGGGGAAAATAGGTATTCCTCCAAGTTCTTTAAAGTAGTACGTATTTACTACTTAAGAGAGACAGTCGTTTTGTTGTTCCTTGAGGCCTCTACGATCTCTTAAGCTCCACAAAAGTGAGAAGCAAAGAAGCTGCCAAGAACCAGAAAGTTCACATTCAACAATGATCACTTGAAGTTCAAATATGCCCCCACCAGCCACAAAACCCAATCAAAACAAAAAAAAAAACCCTAGGGAAAACAAGGGGGAATCACTTAGGAACTGCGCAGAAATCACAGGTGGATGTGTTTTTTTAATGGAAATGACAACTTTCCTCTCTGTATCCATTTATTCAAAATTGGGAAGAATAATGTAAATATTCAACACTTAAGTAATATACTCATTTGTATTTTGTTTTGGTCCCTATTTTGTTTTTTTTTTTATTTAGTTGTAGTGTGTTGGCAGTCCTTTCTTCCTTTTTTACCTTTGTCATTAAATATTTTTTAAAGTAATATAGGAGTATCTATGCTCATGATAAACTTCTTAAATACCTGGTATATTAAAAAAAGGCCAAAGATTTTCTTCTTTCCAGCCCCCTCCATTTTATTCCCCCAAAGGAAACACTGTTAATAAGCTAATTTATTCTATACCTAGAGCAATGCTGACCAATAGAAAAAAAAATGTAGGCCTCATATATAATCATATATAATCTTAACTTTTCTAATCGCCACATTAATAAGTAAAAAAAATAAAATGAAATTAACTCTAATATTTTATTTACCCAGTATACCCAAAATACTACTTAAAAATTTTTTTAATTGTAAACTACTTCAGTTTTCACATTAATGAAGATTAATAAAATTAAAAATTCAGTTCCTCATTCACTCTAGTCACATTTTAATACTCAATAGCCATGTGTGGCCAGTGGCTATCATATTGGGCAAGAGAGTTTTAGACTTTCACCATAATTCAGTCAATTATTTTGCTAAATTATTTCCCAGTTACTTGATCTTTGACATCTTTACACATTGATACCATATAACAGCATTACGTGTTATAATCACACATCTTTTGAATGGCTTCATGGTATTCTGTCATACAAGTACACATTACTTTTCCAATCTAATAACTGTATCATCCTTTTTTTCTCTTTAATTCTTAAGAACTGTATATATTGGTGATATTAGCTCCCTGTACATTACATGCATCACTGCCAGGCTCTTCCTGTATGTTGATTTACACAACAACAACAACAAAAGTAAGTGCTCTAAATATATGCAGGTGTTGAGAAAAAAAAAGAAAAGAAAAAAGTAAATGTCATATTTTATATCTCCTTTGTACCCCTGGGTGTATAGACTTTTATTGACTGCAAATGTTCTTTTACTGTTGAATTTTTCAGTAGCTCAAAAACTTTCCTATTCAGTTACCTATATTTGGCTCCCTCTATAAACTGACAAGACTGAAGTTTTGGCAAATGACTTGAAAACTACCTGGATACAATTTATAAAGACAATTTGACAGCCATTCACCTTGGCAGCCTGGAATCCCCCATTAACAATACTAGCTGCCAGAGAGCAAAATTAAACCTTAAAAGAAGGGCATTGTTCAAAGCCAGGGCTGAAAGTATGAGAACTCTTACTGGCTAATGAAATCTTGGGTAAGAAAGATCAATTCGGATAATTCAGTTATAAGGTTAATACCTACAAGTTAACCTCTTGAGGAAAGTCAGCCTCATAAGCCCTACAACTATTTAAAGATGATTTATTTTAAAAAGTGAGGTCAAGAAGTTCACTCGGTCGATCAGGATAGGAAGGAAGCAGAGGTCAAACACCTCCGAGTTTGCAGACACAGGTCTTCAGGCAACACCAGGAAGCTTTCACAGGTTTGCTTCTGGGGCACAACGTACATGTGGTTCAACAGAATTCAGTCTGATGCATTTCAGCAAGTCTGCTCCTGCTGATCTAATTCATTTCATGATGTGAGCAGCTGATGCCAGAAAAAAGCCCTAGAGCTGTAGCCTTAACCACACACACTAACATCACAACATGCTTTCTTTTCCATAAAATTAATAGACTATGAAAGCCTGCCCATTGTGCCTCCACCCTTATACACGATGCCATGTCTGGGCCAGCAACCATGTACTGCAGACCAACAGCAGCAAATGAACCGGGTGGGTGGCCACTTCCTGAACAGGTAGGTGACGGCTGCTCTGGTAGAAAGCAGTGAGCAGGGCTGGCCCTCGGCAGAGGTAGAGCTTGCGGCTGCCAACACACTGCAATCTGAGAAGCACCCCAAAGCCCCACCTCTCCCAAAATACCTCTTCCACCAGCCTGCTAAGGCAAGGTCTTCTCTTTCTATCTGGCTTGAAATTCCAGTCATTAGATTTACTGCTTTTGCAGTAAGGTAAGGGAATCATTGTTGAGGATGGCATGAAATATGCATGGTTCTTGGGAAGGTAAGAAAACTAGAATGGAAATCTCTTCCATTTCACCAAATCAATCTCGTGGTTATCAAAATTATCAAATGCTACCTTAGAAAACCAAGTCTAGGGCCCTACCAGAAAAGAGGTGAGTTCTGACTAATACAAGGAGCCATACTTAAAATATCCTTCGCCATCATAAGTCGTACCAGGATCACAGAAATGAGTATTTAAGGAATGTTATAAAAAGATAGTTATATTCACCTCTAGCTTTTCATCCCCCAAAATTCTCCATTCCTTTGGCTTTCCCGTTCTGTTTTAGGATTCAGATCTACATAAATAAGTTCTTGTCATCTTCTAAATAATCCTCTTGTGTAATCCTCACAAAGAATGGTACCCAAGTTTTAAAGAACAAGTTTAAAAGGCCTACATGGGTAAGGTAGATCTTACTAGTAAGTAGCCAGGTAAAACATAAGTGCTGAGTGGGAAATAAAAGGGCAGGAAAACAGTAGGATAAACATGTGAACACAGAAACCAAGAAAAGTTGCAGATGTTCACCCAGACACCTTTTCTTTTATACACACAAGTGACTATTCTGGGCTCTCCGTCACCACACACTGTGCCACCAAGGGACCTACCTGGTAGAGCCTGATGATGTGGGGATGGCAAAGCATTTTCATAATTTGAACTTCCCGGAAAATCTTCTTCAAGTTTTCTTCATCCAGCTGGGTCTTGTCTATGATCTTGATAGCAACCTGAGAACAGAGGAAGAAAATTTACTCTGATGCATGATTAAAAGCAGTTCACTAAGGAAAATTAAAATCACTTTAAAACATTATATTCCACAAAATACAAGCTGCCAGCATTTTGTTTACAGAATATCAATGAATAAAATTATTTTACTCTTTTTATAAAGTCAGGAAATGGATTCCTAGCAAGTTGGTCTCAAAGGAACAGATTCCAAAAGCTAACGGGTCTTTCTGCCATTTCTTAAACTACTCTGACAGTAAGACCTTATGACAAACAAAATACTTCATTACTCCACAGATGTGATCACAGTCTGGGCAAATCAGGCTTTGATGCAGACAATGGTACGTCGGGTCTCTTATTAAGAGAAAATGCTTATATCACAAGTACATGATAAGTTAGTAAGGTTCGACGACAAATTCCACAGGTGCGTCCTACACGTCACCAGGGGCTTGCATAACTCGGTAGCAGAAGTGGTATGGTATGGTGGTGGTCGCTGCAGTCACTATACCCCAAACATGTGCTGTGTGCCAAGCAGAATTCTTCGTGCTTTCCAAATACTACATCATTTAAACCTCACAATACCCTACATTTTATTAACCTTATTTCCCAAATAGGGAAACTGAGACACACAGAGATTAAGTAATTTACCCAAGATTAAGCCATTTACAGCTAGTATGCGGCAGATCCAGGACTGAAGCCCAAGTTGGTTGGCTTTACAGTCAAATTCTTAATGTTAATGCTACAAAAATCTGAAGATCTTTCTGTACTGTATATATACTGCTTCAGCATCAAACATCTATTTTGCTCATCATTGTTAAGACATCCAGCAGCACATACGTTTTAAAACAGAATGAAAGATGAAGAACTTTTTTTACTCTACCAAATGTAAACTTCTTCACTATTCTTAGTGAAATACTCAAAATACTGTGTTGCCCCAAAATATCACTATATCTCCGTCTCAGTCGATACACAAATAATCAAAGAATATTAGTCTGATGAAGGACCAAGCCAAGGTAAATTCTAGCCCCTTCCAATTCCTAAAATTCTATGATTCTATACACTGAGAGAGGGAAAGGAAGCTTACTGAGAAAAAGAAAAAAAAAAAACAAGGAAGCAAAATTTCAATAATAAATAAATGTTCAGCCCAGAGCAATAAAGACTATATGGAACTACACAGGGTAGATGATTCAAATGTAAGAATAACTAACATAAATGTAACTTTGGAGTTGTTTCAGATATTAGAATGAAAACTGATGGGAGAAAGGCCCAGGGAGACAAATTTCAGCTCAATTCAAAGAGCGTTCAAAACAACAGAATGTGATAAAGGAAGCTGGATGTAGCTCAAGCTATGAAGATTAAATCAGATACAGCCTTAACTTCAAGGAGCTCACGGTCTAGTAAGGGAAAGACATACATGAAACAGGCAACAATACAGCGTTGGAAACACAATCAACAAAGCTATAAACAAGGTATGATGGTAGAACAGAGAATGGAGTATGACCTTCACCAGGGGGGAGAAGCAGACATAGGGAAAGACCTCACAAACAAAGCAGAACTTGATAAAGAATTGGGATAAGCAGAGAAGAGGGTAGGAAATTTTATGAGGAGAAAGAGCAGAATCATTAACAAATTTCACGAGCTGTTCGATCTGTAAGAAGTCTTGTACCGTATCACCCTGGATATAGGGTTATAGCTCAGTGGTAGGGCATCTGAGTGCATCTCACCCCAGACCATTAGCGTTTCTACTTCTCCTCACTACTGTGTCGTATCACATACAGGACCTTAACTCCAGCAAATGGTCTGGTGTCTGTACCTGGTCCTCTAAGGACAGCTCCCCAAACACAAAAATCGCAGTACACAATGTCCTTTTATAGAACAAATATCTGGGTCTTAATTGTAATTAATTATTAATAAAAGCTTACACATGAATAGCACATTATACTTTACAGATTGCTTTCAAATACATAACAAGCTTAGAAACTTGCAGCTATATGCCCATCGCAGAGCTTCCCAATTAGTGTGCTAGAAGTGGGTTACAGGGGTACCCAAGGCCATGGGTAGGTGGCAGTGGATCACCTCCAGCCTCAAGAAACCTCACTTGTTTACCACCGAGAAAATATTATCATTTTCTGTGTCCAAGGACCAGGCCTCAAATCCCCTATCCTGCCCATCCATGCCTGTCAATGGACGGCACAGAAAAAGTAATGGGGTAGAGGATGGAGGTGGTTAATGAGGGCCTTCAATGCATTTGACCGTATTTTCGTAGTTTTTCACTCGCAAGAGAGGACTGAGTCATACATAATTGGGGGAGTCATAGGGCCTCCTGATTCACATGAACCCCTTCTGAATTTCATTTGCATTCTGAGGTAATACGACTTTCACAAAGGTAAAGAGAAAGCCAAATCTAATCATCTATGAGAACAAAGCTGGCTACAAGATCTTATATCCACTTATATGCACTTAGTAACGATTTTTAATTTGATAGAGATAATGGTATATAGCATGGATGTAGTTCTACATTTCGTAACAAGTATATGTGCCTCCCCATAAAGGGAATATGGCCCCACATACTGAAATGTATTCTTATCTTTTCAGGGAAAATTGCATTAAGTATAATCTGTTCTCCGAAGGTGGATGCAGAGAGGTTTCCGTAGATTAAAATATCAAATCCCGTCTACTCTTCAATGAGATTCAGGATTCAACAAGACACGGGCAAAGCCTGGCCTAGCAGCTGAACGTGGCGTCAACAGGAAGGACTCTGGTGTCAAGCTGCCTGGGTTCAAAATCTTAGAACTGCCCTTTTAATGTATAACCTTGACCAAGCTATTTAATTTTGCTTTGGCTCCTTATCTAAAAAATGCGGGCAACAACAGAACCTGCTCTAAAGGTTTCTGGGGACTGACTAAGCTAATGGATGCAACCTGCCTAGTATATAATGCCTGGCATGTGCTAAGCATGTCATACGCATTAATTACAGGTACTGCTGTTATCTGTTTGTTTGTTTTCTGGAATCAAGCCTTAAACGTTAGGCATTCCTTGACAAAAATGAGATTCGCTTCACTAAACAAAGTAATCCTGGATCTCAAACACATCAGTTCCTTACTCAAGGGGCAAGTTGAGGGGCCCAACAAGCGAAATAGCTAACAATTTGTGGGCAGCATTCAGAACCAACTGGTTGCTTCCAGCTGATGTGGGAAGAACATGGAAGGAATGAAGCTGGGGGAAAAATGCATTCCATTCGGGAGCGTCACACCAAGCTACAGGATGGAACCCACAGCAAGACCTGATCCTCAGGGCTGCACCAGGGAGAGTGCGCTCTGCTTCTTCATGGCCAGCCGGGCCCCCTGGCCCCCCAGACCAAGTACCAATGCCAGAGAGGAGGACACGCGTGTTACTTGGTCCATGTGCCTGAGAGGACCCCTGAACGGAAAAGACAACGTCCGAAAGCTTCAGCTCCTATTTTAGCTGCAAACTAGAAGGTGGAGGTTTTCTAGAAAATGGAAAAAGACCAATGAAACAGAAAAATGACGACGTCAGAGAGCAGGGAGTTGGCAAGCAAATGTGAATATTTTGAGACTACCCGAAGAGATCGATGATCGTGAATTTTCACTGCTACAGATAGTGGTGGCCATACAATCAGGGTTTTAGCTGAAAGTACACACCCGCTGCTTGAAAAATGAAATGCGTCCACAGCAAATGGTAAGTTGGTAGGTAAACAGAAGATAAAATCTCAAAGAATGTTTCCAGATTTGGGTGCTGAGAATCTATGAATCACATCCTTGTACTTGAGTATGAAGAAAAGTGTAACAAGTAAAAAAGGAAACTTCTAATATATTACCAAGGGATCATATATTTCTTAAAGTTTCTTGTTCTACATAGAACTCAAACGAGTTATGAATTGACACTAATATTAATTAAACATGGCACTGTATCCAAGATGTTGCTTAAAAGCTACAGCTTGCCCAGAGCCCTAGGAATTTCTCTACCCAAGATATTTCCATTCAATGAACCCTTTTTTCATCGGCATGTGGTGTGACAAAAAATTAAATTCAGATCGTGCCAAATTTAAAGTCACAGTTCTTTATTATTCATTCTAGAAGGGGGGGAAATAGCTATTTCCCCCTTTTAGTTCTCACTTCTAAACCACAGTTCCTTTAACTCTTCTAATTTTTGCAAGCACAGTAATGTTCACAGGGAATGAAGTTGACAAAGTAGTGCTTTCTTCACAACAGGCAATAATTCACCTGCATATCGTGACACCACATTCACAGGCAAGATAAGGTGACGGAATAAAAACCAATGAGCCAAGGAAAGGTTCAGTATTAAGATCAAAACAAACCACCCTTCCCCCTCACGCATCAGAAGTAAGTGGGTTCTTTCATTCAGGGATATGCGATGACAAATGGACAGTTAAAGAAAGGAACCACTTAGGAAGAAAATGCAAAGACCACAGTGCTAAAATTCCTCCAAAAAGAGAAAGAGCACTCCCCTAAACTAGTATGCAGATGCATGCACAATAATTTCACAAAATACGGTAAGCAGACTGAATGCTTTTAAGAAGGGAAGAGAAAACATTATGACAGTGTGGAGAAAAGTTTATTTTTTTCAATGTTCTCTGAAGCAGCTCTACTCACTGAAATGTCTTAAAATTCAGGCAGATATCAAATTTTTGCCATTATGAATTATTTTCAATGGGATTGTTTTTATCTTAGGTTTTATAGCTAAATTTTTTTAAGGTTTTATTTATTTATTTGAGAGAGAGAGCACAAGCAGGGGGAGCTGCAGGCAGAGGGAGAGGGAGAAGCAGACTCCTCTGCCCAGCAAGGAGCCCGACTTAGGGCTCCATCCCAGGACTCTGGGATCATGATGAGCCGAAGGCAGATGCTCAACTGACTAAGCCACTCAGGCACCCCAGTGTAGCTAAATTTTTATTATCTATCTCTCTATTCCAAGATCATTCTCAGCTCAGATCTAGTATCATTTTACGGTTGAGATCGGTCCTGGT